AAAAAAATTTTTTTTTTTTTTTTTGAGCATCTCAATTCAACAATTAATGTTTTTCTTTTTGGACAATAAGAGTCATATTGTGTACTAACAATTACAAATTCCAATTTGAAATTGAAATTTTGACTTGGGAGTTTTAACTCACGTAATCGCGTGTGGGTTACAATATTTTAAAAATGCCTAGGTTACGTGTTCGGATGTGATGTAGAAAATCGTGGTTCAATAATGACCGTTCATAATCGTTATTTTCCGTGACGGATAAATTAAAGTGGAGTGTCAATTCGAAAAGGATCATGATCATAAGTATAATATGTATCCTTCTTGGGAGACAACGCTTGCATTGACCTGTCAGACAACTGAAAAATCAAATAGCAGCCTAAAGTCGTCTAGTTAGTGTGACATCATTGTGACTAATTTTATATATTGCATTTTATCAGATTATTATCGAATAATGTTATTATTTTCAAGCCTTTTTTATCGAGACTTGAATTATTAATTTATTTAGATTAATTTATCTTACAATATAAATTTTCATACAATCTTGATTTTAATAGCCTTTCAAGCTTTCACGATCAATTTCATAAGCATATTAATTAAAAAATCATGCAAAATTTAATTTTTATTGTTTAGCATAAAGATTCTTTAATATTAACTTCCAGAACCATAATTATTAGTTACGTTTATTAACTTTCTGAAGACTAAATTTTATCACAAGCGGAAGATTGGAAGAATATTGGAAGATTGAATGTCAAATATTCAAATATCATTAGTCTTTCAGTTAAACAAAAGAAACGAATGATGATTTTTGACAAATTGATTAAAATGAAAGATTATCCTCACATTCACGAAAATGTGGGATCCACACCAATTTAGAAAAAATGTAATACTATTATTATATTTAATTGGAATTTGAAATTTTTTTTCCGATCAGAATATGGTAGTATTTTATATAATGTTAATATTTATATCTTGGCACATTTTATTCAAACCCGTGATTTGGTGAAATATCAATAGTTATTAGTCGAAATTAGATCTTTTAATTTATCATTAAATTACTGTTGTTTATTTATATAATAATCATTATATTTGTCTATTAGCTGCAAACATCCTTATCACCTGATTAGCCGTTCCTACTCAAAAAATAACGCAATAAAAAATAATATACTATCGAAATGCTATTTAATCTCTTGAATTTCGTCATATAATATGACGTCTAGTATACTATATATCGTCAAAATAACATCCATAACGCTTTTTTATACGAAAAAATTGATACATGTATTAAGAATAAGCCATTAAATAGCGACATAAAAAAAATTCTGGAACTTGAAAAAATCAGACCATGTGATAAAAATTTATCGGGCGTAGGATACTTTAACTGTTCGATATAGAACTATAGATGATCTGCCAGTTAATAGGCAATAAAACTACTATTTTTTAAACACATTCTTTTGCACACATGACTTCGGATAAATATAATGTATCTTACAAAAAGTAAACAATAATAAAGCCATCCTTACCCTGCCAGTGCGTGTACTTCCACATGACATATAAATGTCAAGTGGATTTTCGTGATATTTTTGAAGTCATTAAACGATCTAGGTTATGAATAACATATTTGAACTCTTCAAAATAAAAATGTAATTGCTCTTTATCGCCGTTTTCGAATAAAAAAAAATGAATTTTGAGAAAACTTGTGATTACTTAAATCTATTGTATTGAAGCTTGCAATCATTTGATAATGAAACTGGATGAAAACTTTATAATGAAATAATTATCATTTATTATAATTTTTTCTTAATTTATTATTCAGGTGAAGAAGTCACATGATTTAAATGTAAAAATTGTCGAAATTATTTATTAATTGTAACTGATTTTGGAGAAAAATTAAAAATTTATATTACCACTCAAATTAGATTATTTATTATTTTTAAAAATGTAAATGCAAAGATATACTTGACATCTAACATTAAAAAATAGTTTGCCCCTAAGTCACATGTCTATTATTTTGGAAAAAATACAGAAATCGAACTTTGAGGTTGCACCGAACCAAAGATATCGTGTTTGTTTTGATTCAAAAAATTGAAGGGGCAGATTTTAAACAGGAAAAGTCTGGATTTAACTTGAATAGGGGTCAATTTTTCACGATAATTTCAGGGAAAAATTATCCTGTCTAGAAATACCGACACTTCTAATGTAATGTTGTGAAAAAGAATTCTCGCATTACCTCGTTATATTTGCTAAAAAAAAATTGAACATTAGTATAGAATTCTATATGAAATTAAGAATTAAATTTTTAAATTATTTAATACCAATATTACCTTATATGCGTACGTCATTTAATTTATGCTAAGATTCTATGAAAAAATTCATTAAAAAAAAAGAATTTAGTTAAGGAGTTTCTACATCTTGAAAATGTAGATCAATATTTTATTTATATGATAAAATAAAAAATAAATAAATATACATAAAGTGTTACTTTAATTACAAACTATTAACTACAAGAAAAAAATTACCAAATAATCTTCATCCTCAAACTTACGACAAAAATACATATCTAGGTCATTTATTATCTAAATCATAATCCAGAAAATACATCATAATCATCATTCGGGTCATCATCATAATCATTTAGGTCATCATCATAACTCAGAAAGTTATTAAAGTTATTATAACTATTAAGGTTATTGAAGCTATTGAGGTTATTGAAGTTATTGAAGTTATTGAAGTTATTAAGGTTATTAAGGTTATTGAGGTTATTGAGGTTATTGAGGCTATTGAGGTTATTGAGGTTATTGAGGTTATTGAAGCTATTTAGGTTATTATTAAAACTATTAATAATAAAATCTTGATTATATTCTTGATTATAATCTTGTCCAATTTCTTCTTCATCTTCATTATCTTCGAAATCATCCTCATTATTATCCTTTTCAGGTCGTTTAGAAATTTCATATCGTGACCAATAATGAGCACAATCTTGTGCTTGATAATCTTTAATCTTTACTATATATTCTTTTAATTCTTTTCTTTTCTTTTCAAGCCACCCTTGTTTTTCTTCTGCTGCTAAAAATTCATACTCGTTTTTTATTCTTTCAACATCTTGAATAAAATAATATTTGTGATGGTTATTGTTAATATGTCCGATATATTCCGTATATGGAATACAACCTTTAAGATGTTGCGGGAAAATTACAGATCTTTTTACGCTTCTAAAAAAAAAAAAAAAGTTTTTTAAAAAAAAAATTCAAATTTTTTTAAATCAGACAAAATATTTTTTTTACTTACATTTCTCCTACAACATCTATAATATGTTCATCAGTCGCCATACAATGATCACAAAAATTGATTTTAACCAACCATTTATCAAAAGCAGTTTTTTCATATGGTTCCTTGCAAAAATGACAAATTTTTGTTGCTAAAGTGATCCAAATATATTGTTGTTCGCACATTCCATCAGGCGGTGGTAATTTTGGATATTTAGGGTAATGTATCAACCTACAATTTCTCCAAATTGACTGAGTAAATTCTGACTTGGACCAAAGTAAATCCCTAAAAAACTTCGATACGCATGAAAGCGTATATAAATCCGTAAATAAAAGGTAACTAAATATTTGCAAATAAATTTCCGTGGGCAAATTAATTATTGATACAGGAGGTTTAATTGAATAAAGTTGTTCTTGATTTTCTTGGTACGATGTTTCCTCCTGTTCTATTGAAGAAATATCTGTAGCACGTTCATTTTTCTCATTATTTCCTTTTCGTCTTTTCTAAAAAAAAAAATAAATATTAATCTTTGTCAAGAATGTAAAGATTGTGCTAATCGAAAAAATAATTAACATACAATCTTCGGAATCCATGCCCCCTTCTTAACCTTCAAGCCGGTTAATATTTTATTCTTTAAAGAACGAGAAGACATTCTTTTCGTATAAATAAACTAATATTAATAAAAGTTATGAATGCTAAAATTTCGAGAGAAGTTTGGAATTTATCTCTTACTTTCTGAATAAGTTGATAAGTTTGACTTAAGAAGACTTGCAAATAAAATCTTTTCCCCCTTTTTTTAGGAAAAAAAACAATGAATTAAAGAGAAGATGATCTTTTTTTATGTTATTTTAATTGTCGAAATAAAGAAGTCACCTTTCTTTTTAAGATATTCATTTTTTTTTATGCATGAACAAATCAGAAACTTCTTAAAAATCAAGTTCTTAAACAAGATTCAACTGAGCATAATGTAATTGTGTAATATGGATTAGTCAATTATGGATATTAACGCTACACTGTGATCTCTTACACAAATTTAAATATAAACTTGCTGCGGTAAATAAATATATATATGATTTAATATATCTCTAATTAATTTCATACTTCAATGTTTGTGAGTATATTTTTTTATATAAATAGTTACAAGCTTTTTTTACATATACTGACGCTTTTATATATACGTATTTGGCTTGGACAAATTAATAAAAAAAGTTTCGGGAATAAATTAAGTAAATTGATTGAACATCATCAGATTCATAATAAACTTTACTTAAAGGGGTTAATCATACAATCTTATAGCATTAGAAGAGTGCTTTTATCAAGATAATGGTTATTCAGATGGTTCTTTAAACAAAGTGTAAAATGATAACGAGAAAAATTGTTCTCGCATAGGTCATTTTTTGTGATACGTTACTTGTACGGCCCTGTATCACTTTACTTTCTTGGCCCGCATGTCATGCAATACGGTATGCTAGTCAAGATAGTAACACGAGGTGAGTCAAGAAATAATTTTTGTATCTTAGAGATGGATTCGTCGCACAAACAAATAAGTTTCGCACGCCAACTTTCTTTCAAGATATACCTACCAATTTCCATTCTAAAAAAAATAATCCAAATTCTTTCATATTTTTTTTTTCACGCATTGTCCCTTAACAAAAAAATCTTTCACATGTAAAAAAAAGAAATCGCTTTTGAAAATAATTTTTTTTATACATTAAGGTTTATGCGAATGAATATTTGAGCGTTCGGGGCATTTTTTGATTAGCTTTAAAATAGGCTGTACTAGCTGTACTAGTGGATTCCTTTTGTTGTACAATATGTTTGCAAATAAGGAAACAAAGGATACCTCACATGTTATTATTGAATGTGTCGAAAATTACCTGGAACTGCTACTCGTTAGCAAAAACGACAAAAAATTTTTCATCACATCTTAGTTAAGAACCTGATGACCCGCTCACGTGATAATCATGCATAGCTATGCTTGTAAAGGTTAAATATTAGATACTTTGTGAGTTGGCGCGAAGTTGGCTGTGCTACAAATCTGGCGCACATTCAAGACGTTGCATCAATCTTTAATAACGGATAATAGTAAGTACGTTAAACAATATGCTGGCTTAGAAACGCATTTACTATTGATCTGTATTAATAAATAACTAGTACTAATATTGTAACAAACATATATATTAATATAAAATAATGCTTTTAAAACTTACTGGCGAAACAAAATCAAAGCAAATTTATTAAAAACTATTATGTTTAAATTGGTTCATTATAAAAATGGCTAGCGAATTTAATAACATTTTTTTTAATTGTTTACTAGCAAGCAACATATATAAACTGATTAACTGAATATATGTATTTGTTGTTTATTTATTTGGTAAGAAAAATCATGACTAAGAATATAATTAACTATATGGTAGCTTTATATAAATCAATTATATATACTGTATATAGTTAATTAATAAAATAAGATTCCTTATATGGTAAAATACATATATTGTAGTTTTTAAACTAATTATAATATTTTTATATTATTTAAATAGTAAATTGCTAATATACTTTGTAAATAAAAGTAGTGATAATATAATAAGACTAATAACTAATATTAATTGTATTAGTTGCTGTAAATAGTTGGAAAGACTAAAAGCCAAGTAATTATAATCTTTTAGTTAAATACAATAGTATACTAGTATTTACAGCCTATTTATATACAATTAACTTATATTATATATAATATTATAACACTAAGGTTGTAATTCAAAATATAATAATTATTACTTACTTTAATTACCTAAATTTAAATTTAAAGACTGCCATTTTTTACATTTTTTTAATAAGGCATATTAAATATATAATATTAGAAAAAAAATAAATTTAAAGATTTAATAGTTAAATAGTATACAAAAATTTATATTAAAAATAGCAAAAGATTAAAAGGAAAATTTACTATTAAGCAAAAATTAATTTACAAAATTTTTGAATATTAATTTAATAAATTAAAACTTCAAATATAATAAAGTAATTTTATAATAACTGATAATTTGAAATAAATTTAATTATTACTTTTACTAAAAATCTTAAATTTCAAATAAAATTATTAAATTAAAATAATAAATAATATTGTAATAATTTATTAAATTATAAATTACAAATAAATTTACTTAATAGTATAAAAATTTCTTAAGCAAAAATTATAATTTATTAATCTATTAAATAATTTTAATTATATATAAATTCATATTTATATTATTATTATTATATAAAATTTTTAGGTAGATCATGACAGTCACCTTTGAATTTGAGGTCGCATCATGGTTTTTAACAATGATGTGATCGTTTAGGTTACAGGTTGACTTGTTCTTTATTAAAATTAGTCTTTTTTCATAATGCTTAATTCTTATATGTATTTGTTTATCTTATATTTTGTAAGTTTATATATGGGGATGTCCGTAGCAAAAAGGAAGATGGGATAATTCCGTAATTTTAAAAAAATCGCAATTTAAATCACGTGATAAATTTGGCAGATCATCACTTAATTTGTAAAATAAATTGACTTTCAGACCTTTTTTTTTTTATCTAAAACTAAATTTTACAGGCAATTTACTAAGAGTATGATTGATTTTCTTTTAATAAGTTTATGTTGCTTGTTAATTCTATAAAAGTAAAATGCAAATACAGTCAACTCTCTTTATAGTCACACATTTGGGACAGTCCATATTTGGTGATTATAAAGAGATGTGACTATATAAAAAATTTCTTATATTTGTATATCATAATTCCGGCCAAAAATTAACATAATTTTAGCCAGAATTATACTTAAAACTTTATTGTATCGTAACTTCGCCAATATTAATCGTAGAGAGATGATCTTACCGCCATTCGATTCGTCTTGATGAG